TTTTAAATAATTATTTTATTAAATATTAATATATTAAAATATATAATAAAATTTTAAATTTAAATATCAAATAAAATTTAAAATTTTAAATATAAATTAAAATTTTAATTATTATTAAAAGTTAGATAGATATCAACTTTTTATATAATAATATATTATAAATTTATAAAATCTTGACGTTATCTTTTTTTGATGGGTTAAATCTTGACGTTATCACTATCACATTTTCAAATTTATAATATATACACGTATATATACTCTATGTCAGACGTAAAGGATATGGAAATCAGATGCTTTAATTAGTCAAATTTTCTGATGTCACAGTATCTTCGGTATACCAATCTTTGAGATTTGATCTCCGATTCCAAGCAAAGCATAGATGGCGTTATCTGCTGTAGCACTGCGTTGCATATAAGTCCTATACTCCTATTTGCATTTCTATAATCTTGTTAATGAAATAGTGCAATTAAGGGACTGAGTTCATCAGTTTAAAAGGATGTCCTTTTGGTAAATATATTCCTAACTTTTTTTGGGGTAAATAATGCAATTAAATATTAATCTTCCACTAACATTTTGGTATATATATTCTTAACTCTATTATTGAAAAAAGAGTAATTTTTTAATGTATATTAAATTATAAAATATTAATTATTAAATAAGTGTGAGGATCCTTTTGTCCAATACTAGTGTTTTGCAATTTCAATTGCAACTCTTTTTTTTTTTTTAACGAATTTTTTAGTATCTGGTAATCACATTGGATTTCAACTAATTCAAAATTGAATTGCATCAGACCTTATTTTGGAGAAGTTCTCCTAACGTTTGTTTTTTCATTCATAAAACTTGAACTCAAAATTTTATTTAAGGGAAACTGAACTCCTTCTACTCGAATTAATAGGTTGTTGGTATTGCAACTCTTTTTTTTAATTGAATAAACTTTAACTTTAAACTTCTTCATAAAAATCCAAACTAATAATTTGATAATCACAAAACCTCTATGATTAAAATGGACACAATAAAAAAAGTTTAATTTGAGTTAGAATTTTAGGGGTTTTTTTTTGTAATATTTATAAAATCTTTGCAATCCTTTGTAGTAAAAAACAAAACTTAAAACTTGGATCCATCGATTATGAATTTTACATAACTTTTGAATTAAAAAAAAGAATTTCTTAAGAGTTAACATCACCATTTTGTCAAATAAAAAAAAAATCATCTTTAATTGTGACATCCTAAGCTGTAAAAATAAGTTAAAATTATTTAAGGTCCAAAATAAGTTTAGAGAGTTATAACCCTTTGATGCACTTTGGTCCTTAATCTTTTACTTTGCTATACGTACAGACCCAAACGTTTTAAATTATCAACAAAATATCCTTCCGTTAAGCCTTTCCTCAAACGTTCGTGCGGCGAAACGTGGGACCTATTATGGCTGTAAAAAAGGCTTAATTTAATAATTAATTTATTATTTTGTTTTATTTTGGTTGTACAGTGTGAGATAATTATCTCTCATCTTTTATCTCATTCTTTTCGTATGTCATGTGATTTGAATTCAAGACATTTTATTTTCAACGAAAGAAAATAATCACTAAATTATTTAAATATTAACATTAATCTATTAATTTATTAACTATTAATTTTATTTTATTTTATTTTAAAAAATTAGTTCCTTAAATTATTTATAAATTTTATAAAATATTTTCAAATAATTTAATGTATAAAATTTTCATTAATTTTAATAAAAATAAAAAATTAAATCAAATTTAAAATAGAGTAACTCCAATCAATCCAGCAATTATGATCGACTATATAAGTTATTAAAATATGACAATAATTATGGTTTATATTATAAAAGAGAATTGTGAAAAGAAAAAACTAAATATAGTATGTGATAAAGATTAAGTTTTTTAGATAATGAAAAAAATTTATTATCTTTATAAAATTAATTTTATCTTAAAATGAATTTTAGAAGTAAAAATTTATAAAAATATAGTTATAGGTCAATTTTACCAAATAAATAAGTGAAATTATTGTTAAAAAATTAAAAAATTAAATTAAATTAAATTAAAAATAAAACATAATAGATGAATTTAAAAATATTTAAAGATAATAAACAAATAAAAAATACAAAATTTATTATGCTGTTTATTAAATTAAGAAGTAAAAAAGAGCTTCCCCTCTCTGTTTCAAACTGTTTCCGATGGTGGAAGAAGTCGAAGAGACAGCGCCGCCCACCAATTGCCGGAGGAAGAATTCACGATGCCGACGGCCAACTACGCCAGTGTGTCATTTTGTAGTTCTTAGTTTTATTCACTTGGGCGCTAATGATCATCATTATTTCTACTTCTCCAAAATCAAATACTAATTCATGCACTCTAACTGTTTGTGAAACGGCCTCAATAAGAGTTCTAAGGAGTCATGATAAGCATGTCTTTACCTCCTTTGGAAGTTTAGTTTAGCTATACAGTATGAGAAAACGAATGCAAATAAAAGAGGGAAAGCTAGGAGTGCAATTGCTATGATGGGTAAATCTTTATGTCTAAACCCATAATAGCTGTCCAAAAAGGCACTTACTGTTGTCTTCTTTCCAAATGCTGTGATTTCCTCCTTTACATCTCCGTATTGTGAAGTAAAGAGTGCCATCAGGGTCCATGAAGATGGGCAAATCCAGTAACCCCAAACCCACCATTTAGGTAATTCCTGCAATTGAAACGTACCATCTTGAGTCTACTGAGTTGAACTATGTTCTTAGTGTGAAGGGAAAGAAAAAAAATTTCTAGGCTTGTGGTTGTGGTTAGCGAAATTCTATCATATTATAACTTTAGGTTAGTTTAACCTTCATATAATTTTTACAAAGATAAAAATTGTTTACTAAGGCAAACAAAGTATAGTATTAAATAGTAGTAGATGACAACATAGTTATAGTAACAAATATTATCTGATAATATAATTATAAATATAAACAATAATAAATATTGACAAGAGTAAACAAATATTGACTAAAAGATAAACTAAACACTTATAAATAAAGACAAGATAAAAAGACAAGCTTGACTAAAGTAAGCAAAGAGCAAGAAAGATATGAACAATACATTGTAAATGGAAAAGATATCAATAGTATGAAGTCTTGACATTTAAAACAAAGATATTAACGTAGCATGACACAAAGAAATTAATAGAACTTAACTGTTTTGACTATGAAATTAATAGAACTTAACTGTTTTGACAAAGTAGTAAGACAAGTTTGACAAATACAAGTTTGACAAATAATAACTTATCTGCTAGACAAAAAAATTTACGTAATTAAAAGTTGAATCTTTAAGAAGGAATTTAATATAGTTAGACTTATTGACAAAGATGGAAAACAAACTAGATCTTTGGCCAAGAAAAGACCATTTGTAGACTAAAATTTGTCCATTTTCTATATCATATACAAATATATAAACGAACTAGTTTTGACACCATTTTATTTTCAAACCTATTTTGATTACCCTTTAATTCATTATCTTTCTAAGTTTTTCAAAACCCTTTCTTTTCCAAGAAAGCTAGTGATCAACCCAATCAAGAAAACTTAATTTCCCAATTCTTTTTGACTTAAAGGGATACTTTCCAATGGGGTAGGTAGTATAGAATTTCTTCTATACAAAGCTATTAAGGTTTAACTTTTTTATTCTACACAGTAATATAGGTTTTGAAAAACAATTATCTTTCCTTTTTAATGATTTTTGACAAAGAAGTTGAAAACAACCTGTATAGGAAACTCTTATCTGTATATAAGTACATGAATATAGGGTAATGTGACAAATGGAAGTTACAAACTATTTTCTTTACCAAAGATTTTCTTTAAGCTAGATATGATGCATCTATGAAAAACAAATCAAACATTTTAAACAATTGAAGGATATTGAAAACTTACACTTTTATGATTATGATGAGATTGTAATTTAATATTGTTGAGCTAAGGATGGAGGAGTATGCTTACTGGTTCTGGCATGAGGTACCCTGAGAACAAACTCATCACTGTGAATGAGAAAACTGTAAAAATTGAGGCCACTTGGAAAGTTGGAGTCAATGAAACAAGCATCATGCCTAAATATTTAAAGGAGAGCAGCGAGCAAAACATGGTGTACAGGTACCAAAATACTTTGTAGGCTGACCCATAGAAATTTACTGCTGGATATGTGATCATTGAAAACAAAGCTGCCTCAAGGAAGACATATGGAATTTCAATAATCACCTGCAGCATAAAGAACTTGTTTTTGTTAAGATTTGCAAGTTTCAATTTCTAATGTTGATCTCTTGGAAATGCTAGCAATGCTTCAGAGTTTGAAACCTGTGACAGCGAATATGCCCATGAGGAATACATTCCAGCAAACCTTTCTCGGTAGACAACAGTCCGCTGAGTAGCTATAAATGGAGTCACAGATGAACAACTTGATAACCCCACTACCATGATGAAAACATAGAGTGGTCCCATTAGGTTGAAAAGATCCTGTTCAGCCCCTCTTCAGAAAGAAGAAAAGTTTTCAGTGTGTTAGCTGATAAGTTTGTAAGCTACTAATTCCACTCGGTTGGTGTCCAATTTAAATTAACCAGTGGCCAGAGCTTTGTTATACCCCTAATTTTTCATAAAAGTAGAATATTTATGGCATTTAGGTGATCAGAAAAGTGTTGTGCAATTCGAACTGTTTTGAACTGTACAACATTAATCGTTGGATGGGGGTGGATCCCCTGATATTGGGGCCTTCCTCCCCCATCAAATGGTTCCTGTTTTATTACCCAGCACAGTCTGAACTATAAAACAGAGAACTTGTAAGTGATTTGAGAAAATACCAAAACGAAAAAATATCAGGAGAACGGCTTACATTTTCTGCCCTTTCTGCCAAAGAAGCACTCCATATAAAACAGAAGATGCAATAACCATTAACTGGCGTGCTAAATTATATGTGGGATTTCTCCAATAGGATAAGTTTTGTTTCCAGAGGCATGCTTTGAATTGCTCCCATCCATTTTGTGGAAAGCGTGTTGAAAAATGCATTTCTTCTGAACCCTCCGCTGGAAGGCTTACTTCTTTGACTAGTTCTTTGTTTCTCCTGCAAAGGACGTTCGTGTTATCACTTGCTATCGATTGGCTAGGGTGTGCAGCCATGAACATTAAGCATTATTCTTCTGTGTCTCTTTCTCTCTAGCACTGGTTCTCAAATACTAATACTAATTAAAATCAAATGTTCACATATTAACAGTACTTTGGACTCTATTCATGTTGGACTTACCCATACTGATGTGATTCTTTGTAGAGAGAGGCAAAGTCTACCCCAAGTTGAGCTTCTACAGATGGATTTGTGACTTCTAACATCCATGTTGCTGGATTATAATTTTCTTTAATTTTTGGCACACCAGGTATACCCTGCAGCAATGGTGTTAAATATTTTCAGTTACATATCACCATGATTTGTTCATGACTCATGAGTCAAAATTAGCTGCTACAATGAATTCATTTCTTAACAAGTTTGCTATTAGAGATATACTCATCAGTCGTAAGATGGCACGGATCAAAAAGCAACTTGCATATTGTATTAATCTTTTCAAGGCTTACCTCAAAGTATCCAATTAACTTATTTGAATGCTGACCCAGCTCCCCAGAGTATATTAGGCACCCTCCTCTTTTCATCAAAATTAGCTGCATGATAAATTGGCAGTATATGAAACAGAGTGAACATGGCAGTCAAATATATTTACAAGGCTTGGGTGCTATGGTTTTTGGAAAAAAGTAACATATGTCCAGATATTTTCAGACAGTGAACTAATACTGCAACTTAAGTACATCTACTCAGTTAACAACCCGTGAGAATTTCTTTATTCCATGATAGTTGCCTGGGCAATTATGTTTCACATTCAACATTTACCTTGAGTGATCAAGGCGTTTCTTTGGTTATTTCTAATGTAGGTGGCTGATTAAATCTTGCGGAATAAAACATATGGTAGTAGCATGCATAACAACTACTTGAAATAGGAGGGTGCAACTTTTACTACAGGAAGTAACTATCATGTTTATGAACATATCAGTTAATTACCTCATCAAAGGCCTCAAATATGTCGATACTTGGCTGGTGAATGGTGCATACTATTGTCCTGTTTGTATTAACAATATTCTTCACAACACGCATGACAATTGCAGCTGCTCTGGCATCTAAACCGGAAGTGGGTTCATCCATAAATATTATGGATGGATTAGAAATGAGCTCAACTGCTATAGTTAGCCGTTTACGCTGTTCAGGTGATAAACCACTAACACCGGGGATGCCAACCAGTGAATCTTTGATTTCATCCAGTTCAATCATTTGAAGAACGTCTGCTACAAATTCCTGTCAGATTGGTAAGCCAAGTGAAATTGTGAAGCAATATCCTTTCCGATGGTTAAGCTTTTATCATTTATTCAATATCTAGAGGCATTTTTAGCCAATTTCATAAATGTTTACCGTTCTCTTTATGCTTTCTTATATAGCAATAACAAATGAGAGTTTTTTTGGCCAAAATAAAGAGAGTTGTGCATTTCAGTGCCTTTTTTTCTTTTGTGACTGAGTATTTAATGTGATAAAAAAAAATTATTTTGTTCTAATTTGTATCAAATCTGAGGTTTGAATGTTTCTTTGCAATGTATAGTATTTGGTGATTAGGTTCAAAACATCTTACCATTCTTTTATGCGTATCAATCTGCATTGGCAAGCGCAACCAAGCTGAGTACATTACTGATTCCTCTATTGTTAGCTCCGGTGAATGTATGTCGGTTTGCTCACAGTAACCAGATATTCTGGCAAATGTCTCCTGGACTTTGGGATACCCTCCTATTCTTATCTCTCCTTCAATATAACCTCCAGTTTTTCTTCCACAGAGAACATCCATCAGTGTAGTTTTCCCAGCTCCACTAACTCCCATCAAAGCTGTAAGAACTCCAGGCCTAAATGCACCTGTAATATCTTGAAGAAGCTGTAGTTTTTTCTGCTGAAACCCTTGTTCTCTCAATTCCTGGGAAGGCATGGGAGATATTACAAAATTTTATAGTTATAATTTAATTATGGGGAAATGTTTAATGAATAAAATTGGTTTGTTACCTTTGGAGTATCAACAAAGTATTGCACGTTCTTGAATGTTATTGTTTTGGGCTCAAATGGTAAAACCATCGCTGTAGTTTTGAAATGTTAGTGTTGCATTACAGAGTGCAAACAATATTCAGCCTTGCCTTCATTATTAGCTAATTCTTTAGATATGACTTCATCATGTCTTAACTAAAAATAGCTTCTAACCTGTGGTTTTTGTTTCTATAACAGCGCTTGCGGTATCAGCAGAAGGTGGTTCTTTTTCCTGATTTGCATTGCCTGAATCTTCTATTCCCTTTAGATAAGAGAACCTTTCACGAGAGACAACAGCCCGTGATCTCCCTGGAGCTGCTCAAATTAATGTCAACATTGAGAGGTCAGCATTGAACAATTAATTTCATAACTTTGTGTTTTCTATTTTTTTTTTTTCCTAGTATATGTGGTGCATCAGTGCATGTCAGTTAAACTCACGCTTCAAATAACTCAGTGCAAGGGTGAAAGCAATGTTGTAAATCATCCAGAATCCTATTAAAGCTGCAACTGATATCCAGTAGTAGTACGCCTTGAAGTTTAAACCCATCTGTCTCAGAATTAGATGTCCTAATGTCTCATTTGATGAGCCCTGCAAGTGACAGTGACGAGTAAACATGAACTGTAAAAGCATCGGCCTTGATCCTAAAATCTATTTGAACAACAATGCCACTAGCTTTGTGTTTCACCTGTTGCCACCTTGGAGCCAGAAATTCATTCACCATGATACCTATTTCAGCGTATGACAGCGGTGAAATCCAAAAGCCCCATTTCAGCCAAGTAGGCAGTGATGCTGCAGGAAGCAAGTTAGTTAGTATATTACATCACATCTTTGGAATTTTTTTGGTGTAGAAGTCATAAATGGCCTTACGTTTTGGAATCACAAAACCGCCAAATAAAAAGATTATTGATAAGATAAATATGCAATAGATTGATCCAACTGCGGGGCTTCGAACAATGGAAGCGATTAGACGGAACAGTGATACTGCCACTTGATGGAGGAGGAAAAGGATTAGGAGTTGTTGAAAAAACCTGAAAGGGATGCTGAGACTCAGAAAGGATAAAATATACTTATCCATACTTGAAGAAATTTTCATTTTAGAAAACAAACCTTTCCGGTTCGGGACTATAACCAATCACATAATATGTAAGAACCGTCCAAAGAAAAGCATCCAGCAATGAAAATGGGATCTTTAGAATAACTGCTGGAATTGAATAAGCCCATGCTGGATAGAAGTAGAAATCTCTTTGCTTGTAGAATACTGCAAGTCTGGAAATAGTTAATGAGAACTCTGCCAGCCCATTGCATGCAAGTCTTAGAAGAGCATAAAACAAGGAAAACATGTAGTAGGTTGCATGGACAGTATCAACTCTCATCCTGGTGCGTATAAATATTGTCATTGCTATTACTGCAAATAGAACTAGCTGCGTGTAGAAAAACATTTTAGATGTGTTAGCATGTTTATTTATTTTCTCAGGTAAATATTTGTTACATGTCCTGATGTTCTCATCACCTGTGCTGATTTGAAAACATGAATGAATGAGTTCCGCTTCATGAGAAGCCACTCTCTAGCCATGCATGCTCTAAATACTTCCCACTGTCTCAATGTATGGATGTTAAATGACAATGCACTTTTGTCACTCTCATTTTTATGGTAAGGTATGCAGAGTTCTTCATTTAGCTTCTGTCCAACATGGAATTCTTTGAATGCAGCAATGAACTTGTCAACAGAAACATAACTGTAAGGTTGGTCCTGCTGACACCAATACTGAGCCTGATCCTTCTTTGAAAGTACCTGTCAGAGAAATTAACACCAGAACATCAGTTGGAAGCAAACATTGTGGAATTGGTGCAGCAATATTAAAAGTGTAAAGGTGGGAAACATACTTCTTGGAGGAAGTCAGCAACACCTTTACGTGGTGGGCACCTAAAACCACAATTTTCAAAGAATTCTTGAATACAAATACGTGGTCCGTGATACACAATCTTTCCTTCTGCCATTAACATAATATCATCAAAAAGATCAAATGTCTCTGGTGCTGGTTGAAGAAGTGATATTAAGATTGTGCCCTTTGTTATGTGTGCCAATTGCTGTAGACAGGTAACAATCTGAAAAGTGGTAGAGGTGTCTAAGCCATTTGATATTTCATCCATAAACAGAGCTTTTGTTGGACCGATTATCATTTCCCCTGTCAGAGATGAACATCGATCTTGGGTAAGTTTGCTGGTCATAATGTAAACTTTCAACGGCTAGATATTTCTCATCATTAGTAGGCTTCTCATGAAACATCTTAGTTAGATTTATCTCAAAACTATTAGCAGTGGGGTAAAAGTGCAAAACCTGTTGTCAGCCTTCTCTTTTGACCACCTGAGATCCCCCTGATCATGGCATCTCCCACAATTGTATCAGCACAAATGTCTAGTCCAAGGATCTGAATGATCAGAAATGTCAACAGAACTGTAGTCAATGGGGGAAGAATAGGAGGTTATATAATCAGGTAAATTTCTTCATTCCTATCAAAATCACCTTCAATATATAGTCTGTCTGGATAGTTCTTCTCAACCCCTCGACTGAAATTGCCTGTTAGTAGAGACTTTCGTTATATAGATAGCTGCAAGTGAAGCACGCTTCCAGAATTTTGTTTGAAGTAAATGAATTGTATCTTGCAATTTCATTACCTTCATATAAGTGTCTAAATCAGGATCAGGGATAACCCCTTCTTGTTTCTCCCTTCGACTGACTTCTTTCATAATATCTTCAGCGGCAGAGAAGAGAACTATGGTCAGTCTAACCTTTTGAGAGCATGGTTGTTGAGATAAGATGCAAAAACAAAAAAAAAAAAAGAAATCTACCTGCTCTGCTTCCAATGCCCTGACACTGTGCTGAGAAGTCAAGTGTCTCTCTTACAGTCATCTCAGAAATGTGCAGGTCATATTGACTTATATAGGCTGATGTTTTCTGGGGAACAAACTCCGTAAACTTGTAGCCATTATAGGTGATTTCCCCGGTGACCTGAGATCGAAAGTTTATGACTTGATAGTTATCAAGTGATGCTTGCTAATCGCTACTCCAATTTATCTGTATCTTTAAAGCATCTTATGTGTGTTATTGGAGATTTTGATTTATAGTTTTCATTTTGGCTGTTAAACTGCAGTTTAGAGGATGGATGCAACACCTTGAAAGATGGATTGAGCTTCCCTGCAAGTACCTGCAACAGGGTGGTTTTCCCACAGCCTGGAGGGCCAAGCAATAAAGTGAGCCTGCAGAAGGAGAGTTTTAAGATTAATTTAATAAAAAGCTGGCTCAAACTAATAGATTTTACTCCACTCAGATGCCATAGGTGCAGGATATTTAGCTCCAGTATGAACCTTGAAGGCTTGATGATGCCACTGACATCTTTGAGAATATTGATCTTGTTTTGTTGGACCTTGCATCTGCTAACGTTCGTCGCAGCCTGGTCAACATCAGAAATCTCATTTCAATTGAATTTTGTGAATTGTATTTTTACCACACATGGAGTCAATGCTTACAAACAGTGAGTTTTTAATTTTGCCGTTCAGAAAAAAATAAAATAAAATATGCACGTAATTATTTTAATTTGAATAGTTACTCATACATTTTTAAAATATTTTTATTATTTCAATTAAATATTTAATATATAAAAAATATTATCTTAAACTCAAAAAATTAATTTATCAAACTTATAAGCATCTGTATATTTAAACCACTTATTCTCCTTTTTATTCCTTCAAGATAAGATTTTTTTCTCAACTCTAATGGTATCATTCACTCATCAAACAAACAATCCCAATATTACCCGTAAACTATAATTAGATCATCGACACGTGCAAAACATATGGATACAAGTTCGACAACTAAATTATTGAATTAACATGTGAAAAATATAGTATTTCATAGGTTAAAATACCAATTTAATCCTTCAACTTTTAAATTTGTATCAAATTTGTCCCTCAACATCAAAGAGTACCAAAATTATCCCTAAATTTTAATTTATATACCAAAATAGTCCTCAAACTTTAAAGATAATACTAATTTAATTCTTAAACTTTGAAAACAAATACTAATTCAGTCTTTAAACTTTGATTACAAATACTAATTTAATTTTTTAATTTTGATTATATATAAATCTAATATATAAATAAAAATATATTATAATAATAAAATATAATTATTTAATTTTACACATCATTAATATTTTTTAAAAATTGATTTTATAACAAAATAACGAGTTACATAATATTTTTGTTAATAGAAAGACTTTTTACTATTAAAATTTAAAGTTTAGAGACAATTTTGATTTTTTTTTAATTGAGGGATAAATTTGATACAAATCTAAAAATTGAAAGATCAAATTGATATTTTAACCTATTTTATACTAATAAATTCAAAAATCAAAAGTTCCCTATATTACACCTAGAAAAGGTTGAATCAAGTGGTAGGCGGTTTATTCCAGTTTAAGTAAGATTTCGAGTTTGAGACCTTGTGTATGCAGTAGCCTTCGTCGTTGGGAGACTCACCCACTATTTTTAGGTACGCGACCCAGATCGGTCCAAATTAGTCGAGGCGAAACCCTGAATATTGGGTGGGAAACCAAAAAAAAAAGTTCCCAATATTACTAGATTATTGACTCTTGCAGCCTTGACCCAGTGAAAAGAGCATCTTTACTTCCTAGCACAGACAAGGGGTTTTTTTTTTTTTTTTTTTGGGTAAAAATCTTGACCAGGGTTTGTTGTTGTAAAAATCTCCTTTCCCTAAGATTCTTCCATGTTCAAACCCAAAAAAAACAAAAAATAAAATATATTGAGTTGTTAGTTAATTCTGGTCAACAACTAATAATGTTGGAATTGGTAGTTTGTTGCCGGCCTCCGAATAAAAAAAAAAAAAAAACCTGTATAAATTAAAATTTGTGATTTGAATAAGTATTAAATTGAAGGTACAAGCATCAATTTATTTATTTTTATTTTGAGATAATGACCTTAACATGACTTGCCAAAAGTAGAAGATATTGGCAAGGAGCCAAGAAAGGCGGGTCAGCGTCACAGAAATCAGCCATCGTGCGTCCCAAATCTCTTTCTAGGGAACCTCGCTGGCCTCTCTGTGATCTTGGGGTGTGAGGGTACTGCCATATACTTTTAATGTTTCACCCATTAAATTGCATTTTTTTTTTAACATGTACAATTTGAGTGGAGGGTGGCACTTGCACTTGCAGTTTAACGATTAAAAATTGAATTGTAAAGTGTATTTTTTAATTTAAGAACTGGAGTTTGAATCTTTTAAGTTAAATATAAATTCATTAAAAAAAATGAGTAAAAGGTGAAAAATTTTAGTATAATAATGTTATAATTTAAATCTTAATTATTAATAAAATATTAAATATACCTAACAATTTAACTCATGGAACTTGATGCAAATTGCATGCTTTCTTTAAAACTAAATAAAGTGAAAATTTCTAGCCACACTTGGAAATGTTTCGACCTTGATTGGTTTATGTGTTTTTTTTTCCTTTTTTTATTTAAAAATTAAAAATTGAACAAAACTAATGATGATGAGAGTATTTGTACATTTAGGTCTATATTAAGTACATATGGCACTCTTCGTTTAAAAAATAATATTTAAAAATTATTTTTTAATTTTTTATATAAAATAATTAATACTATTATATAAATACTTATTTAATAATATATAAAAATTATACAAATAAATTTTTTTGTTTACTATCACCCTTCTAATAATTTAGAGACTGAGAACCAACAAAACATTTTTTTAAAAACGTTATTATTAAACTATTTTTTTATAAAAAAATATACTTTTTATAAGAAACTTACAGAGAATACACCCTGGATGGTGTTCCAAAGGGTAGGAAGAGGCTTCCCATGAACCACTTCACATTCTGCTTCCACACACAAATTTTGGTATCTTACTTCGATCGTCGGCAACTCCAATCCCACCCTAAAACCAGATTAAACATTGCAATGCAGTGTTTGCGATAATATTACAACGATTTGTTTAGTATACGTCAAGCTTTAAATTTGAAATGAACGTGTTTCCATCCAGAAGAAGGAAAAGAAATGAAAGAGTTAATTTGTTACGTACCTATCTATTCTTTCTTTGAGTTTCTTCAAGAGCCGGAGATTGTCCTCCTCGACTTTGGTTATCAGTTTCTCGATTAGAACATGGCGTTCCAGAGCTCCAAGCTTGGTGACGTCGATCACCTCCCTCTCATTCTCTTCTTTGCCATCTTTCGGAAACAACGACGACCTTACCCGCCGGAAAGTTGGCAGTCTCTCAATTGCCGCCCACTGCAACTCAACTTCGTCGTTGTCTTGGAAGGAAGCAGCAGCAGAAGCTGCAGAGGCATGATCAGAAGAGCCCATGCTGAACGTCAACGCTAACTCTTTCATCTGTTCCATCCTCAAGAGCTGAGATAGGAATGCCAAAGATGAGGAGTTTTTTTATGTACTACGTGTAAGGAAAGTCAACTAATCGTTTTTTTGCTTTATGAAAAGGGAAATGCCAAGTGGGACCTAACCTTGGCATGCCTACAAAAGGCCGACGTGCTCTAATTGATTTTTCTTTTAATTTTCTTTAGATTAAATCTTTTATTTAGTTTCTACTTTTAATAATTTAAATTTATTTTTCTCCTTTTATTTTCCTTCGTTAAAATTAATTTAAATTAATGTTGTTAGACTTTAAAATTCTTAGAATTTTGTGTTTAGAATGTTAAGAGTATTGTGCTTAAATTTTTTTAGGATTTAATATTTAAGTTGTTAGAGTTTAAATTTTTTAGATTCTATATTTTATAATAATAGAATTTAAATTTTTTGCATTTTATATTTTATGATCTCAATGTTTAAATTTTTAAAGTTTAAGATTTAATATTTAAAATTTTAAGTCTTTAAAAATTTAAAAATTAAAATAATATGACTAAAAAGTGAAATTTAAAATCTTAGATTAAAAAAAAAAAAAAAAAAAA